TTTGGGGGCTTAGACAACTTCCTGTTGACAGTGATGGCCTATGACCGGTTTGTGGCCATCTGTCACCCACTGCACTACACGGTCATCATGAACCCAAGACTCTGTGGCCTCCTGCTTCTGGCCTCCTGGGTTTTGTCGTTTATGGATTCTCTGATAAATGATTTAATGGTTTTGCGACTGTCTTTTTGTACAGAATTGGAAATTTCCCATTTTTTCTGTGAGCTTAATCAGGTAATCCAACTTGCTTGTTCTGACACATTCCTCAATGACTTAATGATGTATTTAGCAACTGGACTTCTGGGTGCTATTCCACTCACTGGGATCCTTTTCTCTTACATGAAGATTGTGTCCTCCATTTTGAAAATTTCATCAGCTGGGGGCAAATATAAAGCATTTTCCACCTGTGGGTCTCACCTTTCTGTTGTTTCCTTGTTCTATGGTACAGGTCTTGGGGTTTATCTCAGTTCTGCTGCTATTGAAAGCTCCAGGGCCAGTGCAATCGCCTCAGTGATGTACACTGTAGCCACACCCATGCTGAATCCTTTTATCTACAGTCTGAGAAATAAAGACATAAAGCGGGCCCTAAGGAAACTTTTCAGCTGAGAAACATCGTGTATCACAGAAACTCATCATTAAGTTTAGAGAGCTACTTTTGAAAAACAAAATTCAAAATAATAAAAATCTGTATTATACTTTCCTCAGTCCTAAATGTGCTTATGTACATAATTCAACCTCCTTAATTTTTAAGACATAATATGAAAAGTTTAAGACATAATATGAAATTACTTCCTGTGTATTTTGGTAAAAATACATTTACTTTAATCCAATCTTTCCTTCAACAGGCAATTTTAAGAACTAGAAGAAAGTTGCGTTTCATAGTTGCTACACTGCACCCTGACTGACTTGTCTCCTCCCCACTACCATTCTGTAAGGGGATGTCCACTTGCCTACAGATGGACTTTGGGTCCCCAATCTGCACTCCCCCTCATTCACAATGATATGATTTTTTGTTCTTTGATGCCTGCTACCTGATCCCTTCGACACCTCGTTATCACACAGGCTGGTGTGCTTCTTCCACGTGGGCTTTGTTGATTCTCAGCTAGATGGCCGCTTGTTTACCTTCAAGCCTTTAAGACTCCAGATGCTACATCCTTTGATAGCTGGGCACCATCAGCTTTCTTCACCACATTTGCTTCTGCAGCCTGTGTTAGTCTGGGTACTTTAGAGAAACAAATCCACAGAAACTTAAGTATAAGAGAGTTTTATATATAGGTTAAGTACTCATCAAGAAAATATCCCAACCCAGTGCTACCCAAGCCCACAAGTTCAACATTAACCCATATGTCAAACACCAGTCCACAAAGTTCTCCTCCATCTCACAAAACAGATGCAATGATGCCGACTGTAGGAGGAAAGCTGAGTCAGTGAATGTGCAAACATCTCAGCATTGGCAGGGGTCTCAACACGGGTGCTCCAGCACCCAGGGCTGCATTGGGTAGGTCCATGTTGCTTCTCCTCAGGGATGTCTTGCAGGAGGTGATCCTTGCCAGCTACAGCAGGGAACCGACTAAGGCAGCTGCACCCTGGTCCACCATCACAAAGCAAGAGACCTGAGAACTAGAGAGGCACACTGAGCCATTTATCCCTCTACCCTTCAATTAACCCCACATGTGTTTATTGGTCAGGATGGCACAATAAACTAACTACCTCACACCCATTTGTCTTCAGCAATCATGCCGGGAAGGTGAGCATCATGGAATGGCAGTTTAATAGAACAAAGTGTCCTTGCATTGAGGGAGTGCTTGAGTGGAGGCCCAATGTCCACCTGCTACCTTAATAGTAAACCTATAAATATATGCACATAGATCCATTTCCCCATTATCATTTATAAATATAATTACACATGTACATGCCTGTATTTATACCTCTACAAATGCCCTTTGTCTCCTAGTTCTTTCCTCTATTTCCTTTTACTTTCCTCTTGT